AGTAGCTTATCTACTAATGTATTTAGATCGAGCCTTTCCTTTATCATTCCAGTACATTCTGTCATTACTCCATAAGCAATATCAGATCTACATGTACCTATTAATGATACAAATTCTGCAGTGATTTGTGTGTTAATATTTTAATATCAACCATACCTTCTTCAGTCTCTCTCCTGGTTTGACTGATACTAGCAGTAGAGGAATTTGAGCCAGTAGTACTGTCTACTACAAGTATATAACACAAAAAATGATGATTTGTAATCAAGTGTAAGCTAACTAACTCATTGATGAAGGAGGAGGAGGGGATGCATTTATGTAGACAATTCTTGAAGGATCTATTCCAATTAATTCAATAGAACAATGAAGTGGCTCCTGAGCAGTGCCAGGTTTAGCATACACTGACAAGCTACAAGTTGCATATGAGGGGTCTGATGGAAATAGGTCAACTCTTGACTGATAAAGCTACAGATTTGTAATGTAAAAAGTGCATGTCAATTATCAACATATTTACCTCCATTGGTTCTCTGTCAGGATCAACAGTCCATCCTGATTCTCGTTGGGGAGGTTTTAGAATCAATTGAAGAGTTCCATTTGGTTGAATAAACTTAAATAAGTCAGCAACATCATCATGTTCAACATTTGAAGCTTGCCTTTTCTTTAAATACTACAGTATATGCATGAACAAAAAACAATTAATCATAATGTATGAATGATGCATTACCTGTTTGAGAACTTGCAAATCTCTCACAACGGAATACCAATACCTAATTCTCCTGTAACCAACTTCCTTTTGTTCATAATACAACAGTCCAGTATACAGCATATCACCAGATGGTGCTAAACAATGTACTAGTAGCTAGTTACGTAAACATTTAAGTAATATACCATTATTGTCTGCACGAGGAGTGGAATAATCATGATTATGAGAATTTGGTTCTATTGATTCCATAGCATCTGCATTTGGTTTTATAAGGCAAAACTTACAATACAGTGCATGATACAGTAGCATACCGTTAGGTGGTGTGTTAATTATTGATGGAGAGGCTTCTTCACTATTCTCTCTTGCTTCATTCTCACTATCACTTGGCGTTTGCGTATCTCCATTAGCTTGCTCTTGGCTATCATTATTTGTTCCTATACAAACACATCAGTAGAATTGGTACAAACATTAATGCACCTTGAGTTTGTGTACCTCCTTCATTCCCACCTCCATTAGTTGTCTCTCCATTACTCATCTCAGCAACATGTGCAATACCAAGAGCACAGAATTCATCGCGTTCAATACAACCGTATCTGTTCCCAACACTAAAAGATCCTCCTTCAACTATACTGAACTGGTAAGCATTGGGAGGCTTCAGTGGAGCTCTGACAAACTTTAGGCAATCAGTCTGACTAGTGTTCCTTAGATCCACACAATGTTCTAGCTCTATTACCAGTGGTTTTAAGAGTGCCTTAGATACTGATATCGCATATACTGCACTGACAAGTTCAGTACCTCTGGGAAGGTCAAAACAACCTTTTACTATCGCTTTAACAGTTACTTCAGTATCCTCAGACACTGCTCCACAAGGACACTGTAGTTTGAATCCAAACTCCTCCCAATAAAATGAGGAGCTATTTTCGTTTAGATGAAATCGCTCCTGTCCGGCTATAGTGACACTAGAGTCAAACAAGTCTGAAAAATTAGGGAATGATTTATTTTTTGATAACTAAAAAGTAGTGCATTTATATACCTGTCTGACGGATGAGGTAATCACACTGGACAGCTACTTCTCTGCAACTTTTGACTTCAGGCATTAGCTATCAATTGAAATGTTATATTAATTTTTAAAAATTTATAGCTTACAAGCCCATATTCTCTTAAATATTTGTTCATTGATTTCTCTACTAATTCTTCAATTTTGACACCAGATCTCTTTTTTTTCTGATCAAAACTGAAGAAAGATGCTAATTGCTTTCTGAAACTTGGATCATGCTGTTGATTACATTGATTCTGGAAAGAATTCTGAAGGAGCTCTATCATTGCTTTCTTCTTTATTTCTTCGAGGTTAAGCTTTTTGAGCTCTTGCTCACTTGCTTTAAGCTCTTCTTGTGTTTTCTGAACCATTTTTTGAAGATATTCAAGCTGCAATTCAACTTCCTTTAGTTGACTTTCTTGCTTTTCTGTTAGTTGTTGAAGTTTCTCATTGTTCTGTGGTTGACTTTGTACCTCAGCACTACAGTCCTCCAAATAAAAATGATCAGCCGTTTCTAGTATTATCTCTTGTAATTTATTTGTGTAGAGATTAAATGGAACTACATCAAAAGACCATTTGCTAATCATCGTATGTGCTACAGTATGATTAAAAAACAAAAATATTATCACCAATTTTTACAATACAGTTTACACTACAGTAACAATGGGCACTAGTAACTTGAATACTGCACTCTCTCTCTACTTAATCTCTCTCTACTACTGTAGGGCACTTTTTTGAGGACTATAAATTTCATGCATTTGCCTAAAAATCTATTTTTGCGGATTTAATTTTCGTGAATTTATGCTGTCTGCCATCTTTTACCGTAATACCGTATAGCAGGTAATTTTTGTGGCACTTTATTTTCGTGGATTTCATGGTTTTTGGGCTTCCCACAATATTTAAACCCACGAAATCATCGAAGTGCCATCCCCTTACAGGCTACGCAAACTGTCAACAACAAAAATTAAACCATGAATTGCCCCACTTGGAGCAAAGTCAGCAAACCACAATAAGTTAGACCCACGGAAATAGCTCACTATACAATATATATTAATTTTTGCGGAAGTAATTTTCACGAATCCTCAAAAATCACAAAATCCGTGAAATTCACAGCCCTCGAAAAAAAGGTACCATAAGGTATCACTAATAAACTAGCTTACTGCATTCAATAACAGACATAGTTGATAATGCACTGTGTCCTCCAAACTCAATTACCCAACTAGTGTTTGGAGTCACATTCCACACTGAGAGAGAATGATAATATCTATCAGCAACTAATTTCGGTAGACTGACCTAGTATAGTTATGATTGTTGCTTCAAACATTATTTTAGTTAGTTACCTCGTCCCAAATTTTATTAGTCACATCAAGTAGCCAACAATCAGAAATTTCAAATCCACCTACTACTAAAAGGTGTGGTCCAATTGAACCAACATTAATAAGTACGCTTGAATGAGCAGATCTTGCACATGGTCAATTTTGCGAAGATTTAGGAACTTCTGATATCTCCTATACATGTGTATGGTTACAACATTATTGTTTTGATTATGTGTAGTCTTACCAAAGACAGTTGTTCTTTATTAAAAACCATGACGTACAGTTTGTCACTGACTTTATAGTCAGCACTGGGAGAAAAGCCTCCAAATAATATGGCACTGCTATGATTTACTGACGTCAGAGTGAAGCCAGTAATAGGAGGTGGTCTGTCTCCAGCAATATCTGGAGAAATCCATTCCCCTAAAAATCAATAACATAATGTGCAGTTGTGCACAATAATTAAGTTTTGCCAACAATTTAAAATAATTATTTTATGTACCTTAAGCCTACTATTTTTAGCGTCTACTAAATTTAGCTATATTAGCGAGAGCTTTAAATCGCTAAATTAAATAGACACCAAAATAATTATTATTCATTATAATGGTTATTATGTATAGTTAATTTGGTTAAAAACGCTAAAATTAGTAACGCTAAACATGACTTTTGCTGATTTCGCTAAAATTAGTAGACACAAATAATAGTAGGCTTAAGGTATATAATTCACCTGTCAATATCCTGTAGTAATGTAATTCATTAGTACATTGCATATTTTCAATGCTGAATCCTTCTGTGCTGTACTGAGCACTTGGTTGTGCTGGAGTATTTTCAGAAGATGGTCCGTGACCCCCAAACACTACAAGGTAATCTTCTTCATCAACTTGTACAGCTATCATACCAGCAGATTCCTTCATCATGGGGCCAGATTGAGAAGTATTGGGAGAAACTTCCCTCCAGTTTAGGGTGTCAACATTAAGGCCATACAAACTATTGTGAAAACAGCGAGGAAAGCAGTCGATGTGATTGCAACAGCCTCCAAAATAGAGGATCTCTTTTCCAATAACTGCAGATGCATATCCCGTACTCCCAGGGGGGAGCTTACCAGTAGTAGCTTTTTGCTCCCATTTGCCAGTTGGCAAGTGATAGACCAAAACAAATTTATTGTCGAAAGATTGTGGCTGGGAAGAAGGCTGGGCTGGGTTTAGTTTTAAATCAAGATCTAAGTCATCAGGCTGGCTCCCACCCCACATGTATAAGTAGTCTCCTACTCTAACAGTAGAATGGCCATATCTTATTACCGGTTGATAATCTATAAGGAAACATTCGTGAACAACTTTATTTTGATCATGAAAAGCAGTCTAACCTGACATTTCTTTATTCGCCCAATACAAAGTTTAATAACCACGCCGCTGTCGCCGCACGGCCGGTTGGGTGTGTGATTTTTTGGTGTGTGGGTGTGAAATCCGTATATTATCATGAATAGCATCATTAGCATGCTTGGCCTCGTGCTAGCTAGTCTCCAAATAGGGTTGAGCCTATTATGCCCATAAATTTTCCCATTATTCTTTCTAGAAATTCTCAATATTTTCTCCTATTATTTTTTTCATTTTATCCTATTATTCTCAAATAATTTTCTCAAACAATCAATTTTTGCACTCCAATAGTGTTTTTAGAATAGGTCTTCCAACCAAATTTTTAAAAATTTTCTTCTGCAATTACAAATAACCTCAATTCCACCCATTATTCCACTATTAGTATTATTCCTATTTCCACCCAATTATTCCAGCATTATTCCTCTTATGAGGAAGTCCCTATTATTCCTAAAATTATGCTGGCATAATAGGCTCATCCCTATCTTGAATGAAACACGACAAAGTGCAGACGATATTTATGGAATTGGAGGAAGAATCTTAAGGCCCATACACTAGGCAACATGTTGCTTGTAACATTTGTGGTTACTACTTTGATCTTGTAACCAACATGTTGCCAGAAATAGAACAGCCTTCTATTTCTGGCAACATGTTGCTTACAAGATCAAAGTAACCACAAATGTTACAAGCACTAAAACCCTTTTAGTTAGATCAGGCCTAACTATGTGACTAACTAAATCTTTTTAAAGAAGTCTACTAAACTATACTAACACAAAGTTTTGCAAAATGAGCCTAACTAAGTGACTAAAAGCATTTTTATTGAATCATAACTAACTTTCTGGAGGAAACAACACTGAAGCAAGTAAGCAAAAGACCATTTATAGTGCATGTACTACTGAGGTCCATGTTGTGTACTTAAGTTAAGCGGTTATACACTGTACACTTTATACACTTATATACGTTTATACTTTATACGTTTATACACTTTATATTATATACTCTTGATATTGTTGATGATTAAATTTCTAAAAGTTATTGGTTAGAGTCAACTCAATTACTCAAATGCAATTAAAATGAAGAATTATACATGTATTCCTTTTCTAAAATTGCATGTTCATGAATGTCTATAGATTACAGTTAATATAGTATTGGCTGGTGATGAATAATTATGTCTATTCATGCAGCGTCTGTAGTAGCTATTCAGGCTACTATTGTTAATGTGTGATTATACTTCAATATCATTAATTTTTAACAACTTTATAATTTCTTTCACCATACAGTAGACTAGAAAATTAGTCTAATATTATTTTAGCACATATACAATTGCAATAGTGGTGAAAGGAATTATAAGCTTGCTAAAATAATATTGAACTCTAATTGCAAATTCTTATGGATATAGAAATTACATAATTATATATTTTTAAATTGGCTTAATCTTAGACTAGTTTTGATAGAGCTATAATATCTGCCAGCTAGTTAGAATTAAAACATTAATTTTTGCAGCTGTTTCAAAAACTTTTATAGCAAAAATAATTACTTTACCTACAAGTAGGTATTAATTAATGTATATATAGTGCTTTTAAGATTAAATATATAGCTATATAATATTATAGATATTGTAAGTTAATCAGCTGCAGCTCAGGCTTGACTTGACGAGTCTTGTCCTTCAGCCACTTGGACAATAACGTCTAACAATGTGTGCTATGTCAGTATTAGTAAGCGATAGCCCCCGACCAATATTGTAGGGATTAACATGGGGAGGGAATTGCATTACTGGAGCTCCATTAATGCTGCAAGACGTTGGACTGTAATGCATGACAGAGTAGTAGTCATAAGGGAGACCAAGTGTTGAAGCACCGTCTTGCCTCATGTACTGGCTTATGCCTAATGATAAATAGAAAAAGGTACACATACTTATTAATTCCTTAAGACCCACTGCTGTTAAATAAATAAATATAAATAAAATTAAAAGCTTCAAGCTACATCTTAAATCAAAGCTTACAGTCTTGTTTGATTAAATGCCAGTTGATTTGGACGTAGTAATCCCTGTCCGGCCTAGTCTGCTCATGGAATCGTCCCAAAGCATGCATCACCTCATGTGCTGGTATACGCTCGAAAGTGCAACCAGGACTTAGAAAGATATCATGACGGTTACCTGGGGTTACTGGTCCAATCATTGTGTAGCAGCTATACATAAAGAATAAAAGCAAAGATCGGTTTCAAAAAAAACATTAATAATTGCAATCTACCCTTGTCCCAAATTGAACACGATATGACGCTGTGGTATAGGAGCAGTAATATATACAAATTTTAAGCAATTTTGCTTCTGGTTAAGGTCATTCATTGAATCAAAAATCTTCCTATTAAGATCTGCCAGCTGAGGAGCTAAAGGATAATGATAAATAATGCATTAATTATATTGAGTATAACTGCTATATGCAGTTGCTCAACTGACTGTTAGATGGAATGGTAGTGGCGTAGTAAACAGTCTTGCTTGGCCAAGCGGGACCATTAAGCCAAGCCTCAGAATTCACAAGCCCATCAAATCCTTCTTTCTCATAAATAGGGAGTTGCTCTTTTGGTATCAGAATATCTCCATCAACAAGAGCCATTCCAACTAGAAATTTATACAATGATTGTCACAATTAGTGAATGTCAGTTTGCAGTTGTGTGTGTACTTGGGATGCCATTTTCATCAACTTCAGGCTCTGGAAAGTTAGACTTGCTATCATCAGATGCAGAAACTGAAATGAAAAGGAAACATTACAATTAGCATGCATGCATGCATATGTGTGCTAACATTCCGAATCCAGAGGTGAAGCTGAGGGTGAAGCATGGACAGCTATGCTGCAAAGAAAGAGAGCAAGAGTGACTGCAATCTTCATTCTTAAGAGTCCACGTCAGTCAATGATAAGTTAATATATGCACTGCTATAAGTGTGGTGATCCGAGATGAGCAGGCTCTCTCCTCTTTTTATACCAAAGGTGAAAATAGCAGGAAATAGGCTAGATTGTATACTAACACTCTGCAAATGATATATTGTGAAAAAATAATTTGTGAATAGATCTAAACTTTACGGTCTCACTCTATTCAGCTTGAGAGTAAGTTTCTGGCATTTCACAATAGACCATGAATAGCTATAGCATAATAGTCTATTTGATTCATAGCCAATTCTGAAAATAATATTTTTATCAGCAATGGAATATCACCCATGCACATGAAGTTTGCAACATACCATTTTTTATTTTGCATGTTCCATTGATTTTTCTGTTGTATGCAAAAAAATGCTGCATGGTGTAGATATAGGTAGGCTAATTATAAAAGCATGGGCGTGTCTATTACTCAGTATTATTTAATAAATAATAGCATGGCCGGCATGAAAAAGGATCACAGGAAAGTTTTCAAGTACAATATCTTGTGCAGGCTTTTCTTCTGGTAAGCAAAGCACATTATTATTATAGTACAATAATCTTACCATTTAAAAGCCTTAGTTATAAACTTGGATCTAGACTAGGAAGATTATATATAAATTATATATGTATAATATGAGTGCCTATTTATAATTATAAATACATACCTTGTAATAGAAAGACGCAAAAGAGTGCATTACAACAAGATAAGCTTCCCTGTGAATAGTAATAATGCATTGGTCCTTTACTATGCACTACAAAAAAGTAGCTGCTGCTAATGAGATTAGGGCAAATGTTACTATGATGACAAAGTAAAGGATGAAAGGAATAACAAACAAATAAATATATTCACACTCAAAAAAATTTTAATAAGGAATATAGTAGGGTTATTTTGCTAAATTTGAGAGACATACGTTACCATGCATGATAAAAACATAGATATATTCCAAATAATAGATGTATTGATTTACTCTAAGACTCATTTTGATTTATTTATTTTTAACCCTATGTAGCTATAATCCCTTACCTGTCACTGTCTCCTTTTAATTTATATGATCATTTAAAATTAATTTCTAGTTGGATTGATCCTTTGCTGTGTGTCGGTTGTCGCCAGAGTCTGACTCAGCCTGATCTGTATCCACACCCTCACGAATGTGACTCATCATATCTGCATAACAAATTCAATGAGTAAGCCAAATTTAATAAACTCACAGTAGTAAATATTGGGTTGTATAATGTATACATCTTATAATCCTCAAATAAAAGTCTGCCCGGGTCATTACACATGCAAATTAAAAGGGACTTCCTGTTTGAGAATACAGTCAGGGTTCTGCCTAGAAAAAAATTAGAGGTGGTTGGAGACTAATGTTATTCTTTTTAAATTTAAGTACACCATACTAGTAGACTACAATATCATGCTTTATGTATGGTTATTAGTATTAATTGGATGGTTGGTCTAAATGATGAAATGGTTGGTTCATTTGTTGAGGTTGTTGTCCCGACCACCCCCAACCACCATAGGCAGAACTATGTACAGTACATAGCATTTTCTTTCTCATACATGCAGATATTGGTCAGAGGAGCTCTCAACTAGAGGCTCAGCTAATACAAGACTGTGGTGGATCATACTGAAATGCTTCTGGTGGAGATCACTGCTAATCCAAACCCTAACATTAATACTGGTGAGTTTATTACTGCTTCTAGCATTTTGATATACCGGTAATGATAAAGGTTTACCATTGATTATATGAGCAATATTTTTTTGTTTTATTTAATTGTTCAGCTCTCACACACACTCTCTTCCCATCTCTCTCCTTTCTTCTTTTTCTTATCATTACTGGTACAATTATTTCTGTCGTTATTTTTCTTCTCTAACCTACCCTATTTTTAACTTTATATCTCTAACCTACCCTATATCTATTTTTGATACTACTTAATAATTATTCTTTTTAAAAATTTAACAGATAGCTGTATTCATAGCACAATCGGAGATACTGGGTCTAGTAACTGATTACTTTTCACTTGAAGCCCCTACAGCAGATGATACCAGTACTGCATATCTTTATGCCTCTCTTCTTATTCTGATGTCGGCCTCAATGGTTTTTCTTAACCTGGTGTTTTATGCCGGTCGTAAATTCGGAGGACTAGTTAGGATTTTATTGACAAATGCAATTTATTATAAAGTAAATTTTTATTTATTTGTCATAATTATTTTTACAATTGATTAGGTATTGAAGTTAAGTCAGATGACATTGAGTCATGTGACTATGGGTCATGTGATCAACATTGCTTCAAATGATGTTCATCGCTTTGATGAAGTTAGCATTATTATCATTATCATTATCATTATTCTTGTATTATTGTTATTATTATTATTATTAAAAACATAAAGAGCACTTAGATGAAGGGTGTATATTATTATTATTATTATATTATTATTATATTATTCTTGATTTTTTAGAGCATGATATTCTTTCCTTTCTTTCTGGTATTTCCCATTCACCTGTGTGTAGTGGTCTACCTCTTGTACTTAAAGATACAGTGGAGCTCAATGGTTCTTGTTGGTGTAGTATTAGCATCAATACCAATTCTTATTGTAACATCAATTATATACTCCAGTTTTAGGTACGTGGGGGCCAGAAAGTATTATTTAAATTTGGGGTGATTTTGGAACCATTTTTTGGAAAAAACCATGGGCTATAGCCTTGGGTATTTTTCAAAAATTGGCTCTTTTTTTAAATGGCCATAACTCGAAAAATATTTGTCGGAATGAGCTCAAACTTTCTACGTAGCATAAGGACATCAATATACATTAGAAAATGTAATAAAAATTTGAGGTGATTTCAGAGCCATTTTTTGGAAAAAAGCGGGGGCTATAGCCTTGGGTATTTTTCAAAGATTGGCTCTTTTTTTAAATGCTCATAACTCAAAAAATATTTGTTGGATTGAGCTCAAACTTTCTACATAGCATAAGGACATCAATATACATCAGAAAATGTAATAAAAATTTGGGGTGATTTTGGAGCCATTTTTTGGAAAAAAGCATGGGCTATAATAGCCTTGGGTATTTTTCAAAAATTGGCTCGTTTTTTAAAATGCTCATAACTCAAAAAATATTTGTCGGAATTTGTTCAAACTTCCTAGGTAGTATAAGGACATTGATATGCATCAAAAAATGTAATAAAAATTTGGGGTGATTTTTTAGCCATTTTTTGGAAAAAACGATGGGCTATAGCCTTGGATATTTTTCAAAAAATGGCCAGTTTATTAAAATGCTCATAGCTTGAAAAGTATTTGTCGGAATGAGCTCAAACTTTCTACATAGCATAAGGACATTGATATACATCAGAAAATGTAATAAAAATTTGGGGTGATTTTGGAGCCATTTTTTGGAAAAAACCATGGGCTATAGCCTTAGGTATTTTTCAGAATTTTGACGTTTTTTTTAATGGCCGTAACTTGAAAAATATTTGTCGGAATCAGCTCAAACTTGCTACATAGCATAAGGACATCAATATGTATCAGAAAATGTAATAAAAATTTGGGGTGATTTCGGAGCCATTTTTTAGAAAAAACCATGGGCTATATATAGCCTTGGGTATTTTTCAAAAATTGGCTCGTTTTTTAAAATGCTCATAACTCGAAAAATATTTGCCGAAATGAGCTCAAACTTTCTACATAGCATAAGGACATCAATATACATCAAAAAATGTAGTAAAAATTTTGTGTAATTTTGGAGCCATTTTAAAAGAAAACCATGGGCTTTCCTTTAAAAATTTGTTATTAATGAAATGCTCATGACTCCAAGATCAATTATTCTTTATGTACGATATTTTTTTTCAGATTCAAAGCAGCTGCAGTCACTGATAATAGAATTAAAGTGATGAATGAAATCATCAGTGGTATCAGAGTCATCAAAATGTA